GATAAATTCTTAGAATCATACAACCTCCCAAAACTAAATCAACAAGAAACAGAGAATCTGAATAGATCAATCACTAGTAAAGTACAGGCTTCTCTGGTGAATTATATGAAACAGTCAAAGAAGATTTAATGCCTATCCTTCTCAAACTGTTCCAAAATATTGAAGAGGATGGGATGCTTCCTAACTCATTCTATGAGGCCAAAATTACCCTCATACCAAAACTAGACAAGAACACCCAAAAAAGGAAAATTACAAGCCAATATTGCTGATAAACATAGACTCAAAAATCCTCAACAAAATATTAGCAAATCGAATACAACAATACATTAAAAGGATCATACACCATGATAAAGTGGGATTTATTCCAGGAATGCAGAGATAGTTCAACATCCACAAATCAACATGATACACTACATTAAAAAAATGAGGAATAAAAATCACATGATCATCTCAATAGATGCAGAGAAATCATTTACAAGATCCAACATCCACTTATGACAAAAACTCTCAACAAAATGGGCATAGAAGGAAAGCACCTCAACATAATAAAGGCCATATATGACAAACACACAGCCAACATCATACTCAATGGGGAAAATCTGAAAGCCATCCCTCTGAGAAGAGGAACAAGACAAAGGTGCCCACTCCACAATGCCAGTCAACATAGTACTGGAAGGTTTAGCCAGAGCAATTAGGCAAGAAAAGAAATAAAAGGTATCCAAATTGGAAAGGAAGGAGTAAAACTCTCACTGTTTGTGGGTGACATAATTCTATATATAGAAAACCATAAGAATCCACTGGAAAACTATTAGAAATAATCAACTACAGCAAAGTTGCAGGGTACAAAATCAACATACAAAAATCAGTTACATTTCTATATACTAATAACGAACTAGCAGAAAGAGAAGTCAAGAATATACTCCCATTTACAACTACAACAAAAGTAACAAAATACCTAGGAATAAATTTAACCAAGGAGGTGAAAGACCTACACACTGAAAACTATAAGACAGTATTGAAAGAAAGTGAAGATGACATAAAGAAATGAAAAGATATTTCATGCTCATGGATTGGAAGATTAAACACAGTTAAAATGTCCATATTACCTAAAGCAATCTACAGAGTCAACACAATCCCAATCAGAATTCCAATGATATTCTGCATGGAAATAGAACAAAGAATCCTAAAATTGATATGGAACAACAAAAGACTCCGAATAGCCAAAGCAATCCTGAGAAAAAAGAATAAAGCTGGAGGCATCACAATCCCTGACTTCAAAATATACTACAAAGCTATAGTAATCAAAACAGCATGGTACTGGCAGAAAAGCAGACACACAGATCAATGGAACAGAATTGAGAGCCCAAAAATAAAACCACACACCTATGGACAGCTAATCTTTGACAAAGGAGCCAAGAACATACAACGAAGAAAGGAAAATCTCTTCAATAAATGGTGTTCGGAAAACTGGACAGCCACGTGGAAAAGAATAAAAGCAGACCATTACCTTATACTATGCACAAAAATTAACTCAAAATGGACTAGAGACTTGAAGGTAAGACCTGAAAGCATAAAACTCCTAGGAGAAAATATAGGCAGTACACTCTCGACATTGGTCTTAGCAGTATCTTTTCGAATATCAAGTCTACTCAGGCAAGGGAAACAAAAGAAAAATATAAACAAATGGGACTACATTAGACTAAAAAGCTTCTGCACATCAAAAGAAACCACCAACAAAATGAAAAGATAACCCAGTAACTGGGAGAAAATATTTGCAAATTATATATCCTAGAAGGGGTTAATTTCCAATATATATAAGGACTTGTACAACTCAACAACAAAAATATGAACAAACTGATCCAAAAATGGGCAGAGGATATGAAGAGACATTTTTTTACAAAGAAGATATACTGATGGCCAACAGGCACATGAAAAGATGTTCAACATCACTAATTATTAGGGAAATACAAATCAAAACAAAATGAGATATCACCTCACACCCGTCAGAATGGCTATAATTAACAAGACAAGAAATAAGTGTTGGAGAGGATGTGGAGAAAAGGGAACTCTCATACATTGCTGGTGGGAATGCAAACTGGTGCAGCCACTATGGAAAACAATATGGAGATTTCTCAAAAAATTAAAAATAGAAATACCATATTATCCAGCTATCCCACTACTGGGTATTTATCCAAAGAACATGAAATCAACAATTCTAGGAGATTTATGCATCTTTACGTTCATCACAGCATTATTCACAATAGCCAAGACCTGAAAGCAACCAAAGTGCCCATCAAGGGATGAATGGATAAAGAAGATGCGGTATATATATATATATATATATATATATGGAATACTGCTAAGCTATAAAAAATAAACAAAATCGTGCCATTTGCGACAACATGGATGAGTCTTAATGGTATTATGCAAGGCAGAATAAGTCAGACACAAAAAGAAAAACAACATATGATTTCACTCACATGTGGAAGATAAATGAACACATGGATTAAGAGAACAGATTAGTGGTTACCAGAGGGGAAGGCGATTGGGGGATTGCGAAAGGAGTAAAACAACATATTTTGGGTGATGGATAAAAACTAGACTATTGGTGGTGAACACAATGCAGTCTATACAGAAACTGAAATACAGTGATGTACACCTGAAATTTACACAATGTTATAAGCCAATATGACCTCAATAAAATAATTCAATTAAAAAAGATACTATCAACAGAGTAAAAAGTCAACCTACAGATGGGAGAAAATATTTGCAAAAAAAATAGACACACACATCACTTAATGACAGGGACATGTTTTGAGAAATGTGTCGTTAGGTGATTTCTTCACTGAGTGAACATCACAAACCTAGATGTACTTACACAAACCTAGATGGTACAGCCTACTACACACCTAGGCTACATGGTAATAATCCTATGGAACCACTGTCACACATGCAGTAGTCATTGCGCTACATATCATTATGCAAAGCATGACTGTATCTGATAAGAGATTAATATCTAGAATATATAGAGAACTCCTAAAACTCAACAATAACAACAAAACAGCCAACCCAATTTTAGAATGGGAAAAGAACTTGAATAGACATTTCTGCAAAGAAATGGACATTGTACATTGTACATGTGGACAATAAGCACATGAAAAGATGCTCAATATCACTCATCTTTTGGAAAATGCAAATCAAAACCACAACGAGATACCACCTCACACCCATTAGAATGGCTACTAACATCAAAACAGAAAATAGCAAGTGTTGGCAAGGATGTGGAGAATCAGAACCCCTGTGCTCTACTGGTGGGAATGTAAAATGGCGCACCTGCTGTGGAAAACAGTCCCGTAGTTATATACCCACAAATTGAAAGCAGAGCCTCAAAGAGATATTTGTACCCCATGTTCATAGCTGCATTACTCACAATACCTGAAAGGTAGAAGCAACTCAAGGGTCCATCAACAGATGGATGAAGGGATGAAGGGATAAGCAAATGTGGTGTATACATACAATGGAGTATTATTCAGCCTAAAAAAAGGAAAGAAATTCTGACACATGTCACAACATAGATGAACCCTGAGGACATCGTGGTAAGTGAAAAAGTCAGTAACAAAAAGGCAAATACTGTATGATTCCACTTCTGCGAGGTCCCTAGATAGTCAAATTCATAGAGACAGAAAGCAGACTGGTGATTGCAAGGGGCTATGGGGAGGGGGCATGGGGAGTTATTGTCTAAGGGGGACAGAGTTTCACTTTTGAAGGTGAAAAGAGTTCTGGAGATGGATGGGGTGATGGTTATATAACAATATGAGAACTAAATAGGATTGAACTGTACACAAAAATAATTAAGATGGCAAATTTTATGTTGTGTGTATTTTACTTCATACACACACAAAATGTAGATACTCAAAGAAATGTGACCATTTCGCTGTAGGAGCCAAAAACCAGGGGGGTGGCCTGTGCAGTAAAAAGTTTACTCAGGTTTGGGGTTTTCCATCCCTGCACATTCCAAAAACAGCGCCTGGCCCTTGACAAGCTCTGGGGAAACATCCCCTACACCCTTGGGATGACCTGCCTGACAAGAGCGTCTCTGTACCTGGGGCCTGGGGTCACACCACATAGTTTCTGCCAACAGTGTGATTGATGGGGGGGTGCCTGGGGCCACACTGTTCAACCTTGACAGGGGCTGGACTCTGAGTAACTGAGGTCAGCCATGAGGCTCTCCGAATCTAAGTGACTGACCCCCAACAAAATCCCTGGACACCCAGACTTGGGTCAGGTTCCCTGGTGAGCGATACTCTCTGCTGTGTCCCACATCATTGCTGGGAGAACTGAGCACTGTCTGCACAAATCCTCTGGGAGAGACAGCTGGAAGCTTGTGCCCGCTCTTCCTGAACTCCACCTATGTGCCTTTTTTTTTTGTGTGTGAGGAAGATCAGCCCTGAGCTAACATTCATGCTAATCCTCCTCTTTTTGCTGAGGAAGACCGGCTCTGAGCTAACATCTATTGCCAATCCTCCTCCTTTTTTCCTCCCCCATAGCCCCAGTAGATAGTTGTATGTCATAGTTGCACACCCTTCTAGTTGCTGTATGTGGGACGCGGCCTCAGCATGGCCGGAGAAGCAGTGCGTTGGTCCACACCCGGGAGCCGAATCCGGGCCACCAGTAGCGGAGCGCGCGCACTTAACTGCTAAGCCACCGGGCCGGCCCTATGTGCCTTTGACCACTGCTGATTCTATCGCGATCCTTTCTCTGGAAAAACGATAACTGTGAGTGTAACAGCTTTTCTGACTCCTGTGAGTACTTGTAGTGAATCCCTGAAGCTGAGGGTGCTCACCCAGCCAGGGATTGGGCTGATTCCTATCAGAAGCCCATTCACACTCCTCACGCTCCCTGACACCCAGGAGTCAAGACTTCTACATGGACTTAGTCACCAACCAGGGCAGCCAGTTCTGGGTCTCCATGGGAGACTAGGGGGTAAGCTGTCCCTTCTGAGCCTCAGTATTCCCATCTCTCAAATGGGGTCAAATGGCAGGTGAGGCTGGATCAGGCAGGGGTAGGAGCTGGCCTTGGGGAGGCTGCTGAGGCTGCCTCTCTGCCAGGGGCTGATCAGGGGGCCCAGGTGGGACTCAAGCCATGTTGGAGCCATCACACTGGTTTATTGGACACCAGGGCCCCTTCAAGGAGCAGGTTGGGGGCTTGGCGTCCCCCTCTAGCGGGGCACAGCAAGGAGCTGGTAAGGGCACGGGTTCACCACGATGCCAAAGATGCCATGGCGACTGGGGCGGGGCTGCCCAGTGGGCACCGAGAAGCTGAAGTGCTGCAGGAGGCAGGTGAAGAAGAGGAAGAGCTCCATGCGGGCCAGGGGCTCCCCGAGGCACAAGCGGCGGCCTGTGGGTGGGTATGGGAGGGTCAGTGAGGCTGGGGGCCTGGGCTCCATGCCTCTAAGACTCCCTCAGGAGGGGACAGCGAGCCAGGCTCCCCACAGGCACCTGCTGAGAAGGGCATGAAGGCCTCCTGCTTGATGAAGCGGCCCTGGGCGTCCAGGAAGTGTTCGGGGTGGAAGCGGAAGGGCTTCTTCCAGACGGTCTCGTCCTTCAGCACCGATGACAGGTTGGTGATGAGTGTTGTCCCCTGGCAGGAGATGCCTGGCATGGGTGGCGTCTGGGCTGGAGGACCCCCCGACCCCTGCCACCAAACACATACAGGCCACTTTCTGCCTGCTACACACCTGGACTCACTCAAGTCTATCACAGGCCAAGAAATTTCCCGCACCCTCCCTGTACCCATGGCAGGGCCAAGTGACCTGCCTGTCAGGGAAGCCGTCCCTACCACCTGTCCCGGCATATACGGGTTCCTCCAACATATTGGGGAATATTTTAGGTTGTCACTCCCTTTAGCCCCCTAGGGGTCACTGAATGGACAGGGCCAGCCCTGCCTCTGCTTCATCCCTGCAGCTGGACAGTTGGTGCCTGTGAAAATGAGGATTAGTGGCTTGGGTTCCAGGCCTGGCCCCACCTGGGAATGGCCATGCTGGGGCCACTATGGGGCAGGTGGAGCTGAGCTGGGGTGAGCAGGGCCGCAGACCTACCTTGGGGATGAGGAAGCCTTGCACTTCAATGTCACGGGATGTCATATGGGGCAAGCCCAGTGGGATGATGTCCCCAAAGCGCTGCACCTCATGGACCACGGCCATGGTGAAGGGCATGTGGGTCTGGTCCCCCATCTCTGGGCGCCGTGCCTGTCCTATCACTTCATCGATCTCCTGTTGGACACGGCCTGCACAGACAAGCGTCCCCACAGTGGTCAGAAGCCAGGGGGCTGGACCCCGACCTCCCCCTGACTCCTGTGCAGGGGCTGTGCCCACGGGGAGGAGGAGGTCACTCTGACCTCTGAGCCAGGGCCCTGCCTCTGCTCAGAGCTCCTGGCGGCCATACCAAGCTCAGGGCCCCAAGCCTGGCCCTCTCCTCCCTGGCCCATCCCACCAGGCCCCCAGGCTGGGCTCACGCTGCACGTCCGGATGCAGGATCATGAGCAGGAGGGCCCAGGCCAGCGTGGTCGAGGTGGTCACCATCCCAGCAGTGAACAGGTCAGTCACTACCTGGCGCAGGTTCTCATCATTGAAGCTGCTCTCGGGGTTTCCTTTGGCCTGGGCCAGGCAGAGAGGGTGGGCTCAGGCGCAGAGGGAGGAAACCCCAAATTACCTTCCACTCTGTACTCATCAGCCTGGGTGCCTGATCACTGGGTGATACACAGGACCCACCTTGCCTGGGCTCCCTTCATGGGCCCCTCAACCTGCAACCTCTGACCCTGTCCCTTGCACCTCACCTTCTCCACCTGGTCCACGAAGGTGTCAGTCAGGTCTCGGGGAGGCTGGGCCGGGTCCCGTGTCATCCTGTGCTCAGCAATCAGCTCATCCAGCAGGGCCATGAAGGCCCTATGCCCAGGAAAGATCTTGGCAGTCAGCCCCGGAATTCGCAGGAGCCCGGGGATCGTGTTCAGCACCTGTGCAGGCCACAGATGTGGGGCCCTGCGTCCTGCCTGTGCTCAGGTGTTCACCTCCACCAGTCAGATGCCAGCCACCTCCAGGGTGTCCCCACCATTGACCTGGTTCCTCCCCAACGTCCAGACCTCAACCCTGTCTCCTGCCTTGGGCGTCAGAAGGATAAACATAAAATCTACATCTCATGGGTTCTGGTGGCTTCCAATGTAGGAGGTACAGGCTCCTTAGCCCGCTCCTGGGGTCTGCTGGCCCAACAGCCCTCTAGATAAATCCACCTCCAAGGAGGCCCATTGCAGGGCAGAGTCCTCCCCCACGGAGCTCGCCTGCAGGGCTCCTTGGCCCCCTCCACCATCGCACCTCTGGCAGGAAGCCTGTGTCTTCCTTCAGCAAGTGCAGTGTTCGGTCCAATAGCTTGTTGAAGCGCGGGTCGTTGTACTGGAAACGGCGTCCAAAGGTGAGGGAGGCGATCACGTTGCCCACCGCTTTATTCAGGAGGGCGTTGGGGCTAAAGGGGCGTCCTGGGAGGGGACGGTGCAGGTCAGGGGGTCGCCTCCATCTCCTCTTCCCAGCCTCCATCCCTGTCTCCTGTCCCTCAGCCCAGCACTCACCGGCCTGGTCTGCGAAGGCGGCGCAGAGGCACGAGGCCTCCTCGGTCACCCACTGCTCCAGTGACTTCTTGCCCAGGCCGAAGTTGCGCAGGGTGGACACGCAGAAGCGCCGCTGCTCCCGCCACGCGGGTCCATAGCGGGCAAAGACCACCCCTGGGGGCGGGGCGGACGTGGGCGTGGTCCAAGTGTGCCCGGGCCCCGCCTCTGCACCAACACCCTGTCCAATGGCTCGCGTGCCTTTCGGTCTCAGCCAGCGACATGCCCCGCCCCCCGCCCTTGCTAACATATTCTCTCCCCTTTGCCTCCCACTCTAACCTCGTTCTCCTTCCCAGCAAATTCCGCTCTCTTTACACCCCTTTTCGACTGGGGACAAGTCCCACCCTCTGTCCGCCCACATTGCTCGCCAGGTCTCCCCACTGCAGGCAGGTCTCGGCCCTGCTCGTGGCTCTGCCCGCCATGACCCCTTTCTCATTCAGAGACGGTCCTGACCCGCCCCCTGCCCCGCCCACACTGACTCCGTCCGCCGCCTTCCGCAGCCCGGACACCCCCTATCTCATAGAAGATGCCCGGGGGGCGCCCACTCCTCGTAAACCCTCGCCCTCCACCCACCCACATCCCCCTCCCCACTCTTGGCTCTTTCCTCCACCTGAGGCCCCTTCAAATTCGCTGACTCTTCCCTGCACCGCAGGTCCACCACCCGGCCTCCGCTTGGCCCTGCCGGGTCACGGGTCACTGCGCGCCCAGTCCCCGCCGGGCTGCTGTCCTCCCCTCCTCTACTTGCCCTCCGAGCGCGGCCCGAAGCCCAGGTGCTCGAAGATGGGCGCAGGTAGGCGGTCGGAGGTGTCGTCGCTGTGGTCCACCAGCGCCTCGCGTATAGCCGCCAGCCCGTTGACTACGACCACGGGCGTCCAGGCCAGCTGCAGGCTGAACACGTCCCCGAAGCGGCGCCGCAGCTGCAGGCCGAGGGTCAAGGGCACTGGTGAAGCCCGGCCCCGCAGCAACGTTGCCTGACCCAGTCTCATGGGGTTAGCCTTGGGGGACCCTGGGCGCCAGCACCAAGCCTATGCAAGGACTTTATCTGGCCTTGTGACCCTAGGGGTCACGTCCTATATGGTAGAGGACTTCACGTTGGATCAGGCCTCCCACCTATGACTTTGCAAAGGTCACCAAAATTGTCAGAACGCCAAGTTAGCATCAGATTTCACAGGTGAGAAACTGAGGTTCACAGAGGTGAGCAGTGAGGCCCAAGGTCTCACAGCAGCAAAAGATTTGAACCTGGTCACTGTCCCTTCTTGACCTCGATTTCCTGATTAAACAGGGCTCATCACCAGACTCCTCTCCCCCAATCTCAAGACCTTTCCTCCTGCTGTCCTTAGAAGAGACTCAGGCTCACACAACTTAAGCTCTGTCTCACTGCATCCCAAACTCACTGCCAAGTCCCACCCCCTCCAGGCCTTTGTCCTCTCTGACCTTTGACTGGAAAATTCAAACTCTCCTCCTCCAGGCCCTGCACAGATGCCCTCCCCCAGGAGGCCTCTCAAACCTGCCTCCTCCTTTCCACCCAGCTCCCTGTGACCTCTGTGCCTACCCCCCACCTTCCTCACCTGAGTAAAGCAGCAATGCGTGTCCTGGAAGTCCACCTGCAGCAGGTTGCCCAGCCCAGGCAGGGGCATGGGGCCTGGTGGGTAGCGTGGGGCCCAGCGTTGGCGTCGGTGCATCAGGTCCACCAGGAGCAGGAAGATGGCCACGGCCACGGCCAGGGGCCCCAGTGTCTCTCCGGTCAGCAGCCCCATGGCTGCCTCGGTGAGCACTGGGCTCCTCTGGACACACTGGACCCCTCACCACACCAGGCACCTAGGTCCTGGCCAGGCAGGGCACTCTCACCAACACTGAGGGCTGACCAGCCTGGGCCCTCTTTATGAAGGGAGCTGAGACTGGCCTTTGTCCTCTACCCTGAGCCAACTTCTTGGCGTGACTGAGCTGCCAGAGGGTGCAGGGAGGGGCCGGGGAAGGTCAGTGCAGGGGAGGCCACAGATGTCCTGTCCCTGCTGCCCTCTCCAGGTGCATATCCTGGGTGGGGGTGGGGGAGAGACAATATGTCCCCACTCCCAGCCTACTCCCCAGCATTGTACAGGCTCCGAGGAAGAACCAGGGGTCTTTGGACTTGACCCTCCCCCCACCTGTCATATCAGGCTCACACTCCCTAAGGTGGTCACAGCCTCATCCCCAGAACACATTCTTGCCTTCCCATATCTCACCTGCCTCCTCCTGAGTGACCTTCACCTCCCAGGTTTGTTACTGGCACTCTCAGGGAGGGCACAACGATCAGAGGGACAACAGGGAGGTTGGGGGGGATGAGTTCTCCATGTCCCACTTTTCATACTAGTACACTCAGTACACACAGACACAGATCACACACTCACACATTCAGACACTACCCACTTGCTCAAAGACTGACACACAGCACATGCACACACACATTTACACACCCGCAAAAACACATATACACACACATTACTACATGTACCATACACACACACACACACACAGACCCAGCACCAAGGCACCTGTTCTCAGTGGTTGCCTGGAGTCAATCCTCCCGACCCCTTCTCTCTCCGCATGTAGGCGGCTGGCAGTGATGCTGAGGACCCTCACCTGGCTGGCACCTGGCTCAGTTTCCTCAGTTTCCCACTGCTTGTGGCTGAGGCACTTTTGAATCTGGGAGTGGGGAGGCAGCAGAGTTGCTTTCAGACCATCCTAGTCACCCAACCAGCCAGTTCAATGGCCAGGAGACCCTTCCTAAGTTGGTTACAAACTGGTCCTTGACCTCCTAGCTCATGAGGCCACCCAGGTGATGAATCTCCTCGTGCCTGTGTGCACTTTCCTGACTTGGATGTGGGGTGGGCACTTGCCCTTGTTGACTGAGCTGCCAGGAAGCTCAGGGTACTAGGGTGGCTTAGCATAGGATGTGACTCTGTCCCCAGAGGAGGGGGCCTGCTTCCTCCTCCTCATTGTCATTGGTCCTTGAACATCAGCTGCTCAAACTCTTTCTGGAAGACAAGGAGTTGGAAAGGAAGTGGGGATGATGTAATTTCTTTGCACTTTCACAGGCCTGCTGAGGACCAAAAGGAGTGGATTCTCTGGCCTCCCCCTTTGCTGGCCTCCTCCCTCTCCCTGGGCCAGGTCCCCCTGCTCCAGCCCCATCCCTGCCAATCCTTACTCTGTGGTCCCACAAGGAAAGATGCAAACCATGGCACCACCCTGTACCAGTGTGTGCCACTTCCCAGCTGGAATTGGGGCTCCCAGGCCCTCCTTCTTGCTCAGCCTCTCGCTGCCTCCAAGCACGGGGTGTGACCACACCAGGCCAGGGCAGGGCTGCTGCCCGCTGGCCGCAGCACACTCCTTTTTCAACAAGAAAAGTGGTGGGATTTGAGGCTGAGTTTTAAAATCAGTGAAGCTGATGGGAACTCTGAGGCCAAAACCCACTCAAATATGAAGGCACAAGAGCCAAGAGGGTGAGGAAAGGACATTTCCTGGGTAGGGATCAGGCCCCCTCACCGATCTCTGGGGATTTGAAGCAAGCTCTCATTCTGGAAACATCTGGGGAGGCCTCTCCCAGAGCTGAAGGAGGGCCTGCAGGAGGCACTCCCCACCGTGTCCCCCCAGTTCTCTCCATCACTCACTTCCCAGCAGTAAGAGGACCAGCTTCTTCCCAGGGTGCCTGCGGACTTCCCCCACTCAGAGATGGCCACCCAGAGATGGCTCCCCGGGGCTGTGGCCTCTCGGTAATGGCTTTCAACCTTTGCAATTCCTGCTTGGTTTGTGAAAGCTGCTCCTCCCCTTCTGAATTCCCACCTCCCCACTCTCCTCCAAGGCTTGGGCCAGAGGGTGTAGCTTGCTGGGGCCCACTGGGCATTCCTCAGTTTATTGGGCCTTCCCTGCATCTTGTCTTGGGCAGGCCTTGGATTCTGTGCCACCCTCGTTGGACGGACCATGTGCTGGGTGCTGGGTGCTGGGCTGGGCACTCGCAGCCTGGGAGAAGACCATGGTGGGCCCCTGCTCCATGGGCTCATGACCAAGAGGAGGAGTGGGAAGGCAGAGAGCTGACAGGCCAGCCCAGCAGTGCGAGGACTGCTTTGAGGGTCACGGGGACACTGTCCCAGGCTGGAGCAGGACTTTCAGGGAACACTTCCTGGAGGACTCTGGCTGGATTGGCACTGCAAGCCAAGGTGATCTGGCAGCAGGACTAAAGGGCCACTGCAAAGTCCTGTGCAGGGTGGTGAGGGGCAGTGTGAGAGGGGCAGCTGAAGACTGTGGTTTTTAAAGTTTGGCCGAGGCCTGGACTGTGCAGACTGGGGTCTCTGGCCCTCCAGGAGGCAGGGAGACCAGTTTTGAGGTGACTGAACAGACCAAGAGGGTAAGACCCAGGGGCACCCTGGGAACTTCCGGGATCCAAGCTGTGGCCTCTTCGTCTGACCTCAGTTGAATGTCTTGTCCTGTGGGCACCAACTTTCTACCCAGTCCTGTCAGAGAATCAGGTGGTGTTAGCAGGGAGTCAGGGGGCAGGATGGTCCGAGTGTTGGTCACACAGTGGCCCTGGATAAACTGTCTTTATCCATCCTTTGTTTGGGATATGTCACGCCCTCCCATACAGTCACCCCAACATGGATATGAAAGGCAGGGACAGACACACCTGTAATTCAGGCAGACTCCCCCACCCCTGTTGTCCAGGACAGGGGGGACCTTGAGGAAACCTCGTGTGTACAACGAGCACACAGTACAATCGTGAGGCCGATGGCCCACTGCAATCATTGTGTAGTTGCAGCTTTCACTGATCAGGCACTCACGTGCCAGGCTCTGCTGCTCACTCCAGATGTCCTCCCCACAGCCCTGTAAGGCAGGGGGCTTTACGATCCCCAAGGCATGAGGGATACTGAGTCTCAGGCGTCATCATGTCAGGAGGTCAAAGTCACAGAGCAGCATTCGGGTCCTTTTCATAATCCATGCTCCACCTCAAGATTATAAAGGCCATATATGTCAAACCCAGGGACATCATACTCAATGATGAAAAACTGAATGCCATCCCTCTGAGAACAGGAACAAGACAAGGATGCCCACTCTCATTAGTCTTATTCAACATAGTCCTGGAAGTTCTAGGCAGAGCAATTAGGCAAGAAAAAAAAATAAAAGAGATCCAAATTGGAAAAGAATAAGTAAAACTGTCACTATTTGTGGATGATATGATCCCTAAGGAATCCACAGAACTATTGGAAATAATCAACGCATACAGTCATGTTGCAAGGTATAAAATTAACATAAAAAATCCATTGCATTTCTATACACTAATAATTAACTAGCAGAAAGAGAAATCAAGAATAGAATCCCATTTACAATCGCAAGAAAAATAAAATACCTTAGAATAAATTTAACCAAGGAGGTGAAATACCTATACACTGAAAACTATAAGAAATTATTGAAAGCAATCAAAGAAGTCATAAAGAAATGGAAAGATATTCCATGCTCATGGATTTGAAGAATAAAGCAAAGTTGAAATGTGTATATTACCTAAAAGAATCTACACATTCAATGCAATCTGAATCAGAATATCAATGACATTCTTCATGGAAATAGAACAAAGAATCCTAAAATTTATATGGAACAACAAAAGACTCTGACTAGCCAAAGGAATACTGAGAAAAAAGAACAGAGTTGGAGGTATCACACGCCCTGAAATCAAAATATACTACAAAGCTATAGTAATCAAAACAGCATGGTATTGGCAGAAGAACAGGCATGCAGATCAATGGAACAGAACTGAGAGCCCAGAAATAAGACTACACATCTGTGGACAGCTAGTCTTCAACAAAGGAGCCAAGAACATACAACGTAGAAACGAAAGTCTCTTCAGTAAACGGTGCTGGGAAAACTGTACAGCCACATGCAAAAGAATGAAAGTAGACCGTTATCTTACACCATACACAAAAATTAACTCAAAATGGATTAAAGACGTGAATTTAAGACCTGAAACCATAAAACTCCTAGAAGAAAACATAAGCGGTACACTCTTTGACACCAGTCTTAGCAGTATCTTTTGGAATACCATGTCTACTTGTCACCGGATACATACCCAGGTTCTTTACCCGCCACATAAGAGGGGCCAAATAAAACTGGGAAGCCAGGCTTACGGCAAGGAAAGAATTTTTATTCCGGGTGATGTCAGCCTGGAGATGAGAGCTTTCAAATTTGTCCTGTCTCCCCAAAAGTTGGAAGGCAAGGGGTTTTAAAGGCTGTGAGGAATGTGGCTGCTTATAGGGAGGGGGAGCCTGTGGCCTTGCTGGTCAGCGCTTTCCCACCAGCCTGTGTTTGGCCCTGTGAGGCTGCCTGGAGAAAGGAGGATGGCGAGATAAGGGAATTACAGGTGGGTGTCCTTCAACTGTCTCTGTCTCCGTGGCGGATGGTGGATTCTGGTGCCAGGTAGCCGAGGAATTAAGGTCTGAGAAGCTTTAGCTTCTTGATATCAGTTTCCTTGTAACAAACCTCAAGAACTGGTAATCAGCCAAAAGTGAGCCCAGTGTGAGGCCACCTGGCCTTTTAACAATTAGTAACTTCTATCTGCCTTGTCAAGTTCAGGGATTAAAAAAAAAAACAATAGTTACATATGAATGTAACTTAGAAAAGCAGGGAAAGAGGATGAGTGCTTTTGGTTTTAACCCCATATATTCTGGGTTTAATGTAGGGGAACTGATATCAGGGCCGGTATCATCCTCAGGCAAGGGAAACAAAAGAAAAAAAAACAAATGGGACTTCAGACTAAACAGCTTCTGCAAGGCAAGGGAAGCCATCAACAAGATGAAAAGACAACCCATGAACTGGGAGAAAATACTTGCA